TGAAAAATATATTTTTGAAAACAGATGCATGGGATACATAAACATAATAAAATATGATGAATACATGATAATATAACATGAATGACAAAGTATGAGTGCATGATAATATAAAAATGCACATAATGCCAAGATAATATAAAATGCAAATGCATGATTGATTTTAGGGTTTGGGTTGATGTTGAGATTTGGGTCGATTTAGGATTGAAGCTAAGATTTAAGGTTTTACGTTTAGGGCTAGGGTTTAAGATTAGGTTTTAAGATTTATGGTTTTAGATTTAGGATTAAGGTTAAAGTTAGGTTTAGGGTTAGTTTTAAGGTTTCATAGAATTTGAGGTTTACGGTTTCATGGGAATTTGGATTTCAATTTTTGGAGTTTTAAATTTGTGATTTCAAAATTTGAGATTTTATGAAAATGAACATGAAATAACAGCAAATTACAAAAATAGTATTAATGAATGTATATACAAAAAACTATGACCTTGAAAAATAATTACAAACTAAGGTATTTCCAAGCATAAATTACAAACATGTTATGCATGAGAATTCAAAACCAAAATAGATTAAACATAAAAAAAAACTTTGAAACTTGTTTGAATGTTCCACCATCCTTCATCATTAAACCCAACCAAACTTAAAAAATCAATAAAAAACAACCATCAAATAACATTTTTTCATTGAAACTTTTGTTCAAACACGTTAAAAACTTACCAAACATCATAAAAACACAATCAAATACATGAATCAAGGCAACCATCATCCATGAAACAATGAAGCAAGGTTCAACCAAACAAGAATATCACTATGGTCGAACCTACCTAGCATTTCTCCCAAACATTATGTCATCCCACTTCATCCAAATAAGCATTAATCACTTGAAAATCATTAGAACAATTTCATTAAGCACATAATGAACCAATGTAGCTAGAAAATCTCATGAACAAGAGCACCAACCAAACAATAACACATTTCATTCAAAACACTCATTAGAACAACCTTTTTTCATTAGAAATTTAATCTAACCACATGAAAATTTGAAAATTATAACTAAAGCATAACCCATCAACCATGAATCAAGCAACAAATATTTACCAAATCAAGCACAAGGTTCAACCAAGGGGAAGAGCACAATGACTGAACCTTCCATGATGTTTCCTCAAGCATGATTTCATTCTATTCCGTCCAAACAAGAATCATTTACTTACTCATTCATCACATAAAAACATTTGAATCATAAAAAAACATTTATCTAATCATGAAGTAAGTTAAAAAAACTAAAAAAAAGAAGGAAAACTTAAACATAACCAAACACCATCACATACTTCAAAACTATACCATAAACTAACAAATAGAAAAAGCACAATCAATCAAACATATATTAGTAAAAGAAACAAAGAACATATTTGGAGAGAAGCCAATAGGAGTTTTGGCCATGGGTGGAAAGGTTGGCTAAACCTCCAACTTGGTTTTACAATGGTGGATTTGTGTTGTTTTGCTTGTTTTCTAACTCCAATCCAACTATTGCTTAGTTGGATGAAGTTTGATTCAAACTTTGAGCAAGATTAAAAAAAAAACCAAAAACTTTCAAGAAAATCAACAAAAAAATAGATGAAACACAATGAAAATGCAATGAAAAATGTGATGGGGATGCTAGAAATGCAAAGAATGAATGTTGAGATATTATACCTTCAAGCAAAGCACCAAAGGTTTTTTTTTTCTTTCTATTTTTTTCCACCGATTGCTCTCTCTTTTTTTTCCTCTATTTTTTCTTTTTCCCCAAGTTGCTCACTGGTTTCTTTGCATGCAGAAACATCCCCACACATTGTAAAAGATGGTGAAAAATATCTTTGAAAAATTGAATTATAGTCATAAGATCAAAACATCTCTAAAAGCCAAAATTTCCCCTTTGTTTTTAATCCAATGAGCACACTTTAGCCATTGGACCAAGATTCCTCATAAGATCCAACAGTCCATGTTATTCACTGTAAAGGTTGGATTTTTACAACCATTAAATCAAGTGAAAAGATCATTGTTAGCCTTGAATTGATCCTTATTTTGAAATGACAAAACATTAAAGCTAAATAAACTTGATCAAGATTTTGAAAAAGGATTTATTTAGTACATGTTCTTAAGTTTTATATTTTGGTACTAAATAAATAATATGATTTTCAAAGCTTAAACAAACCTTTCTTTGTTTTCATATTTTTGAAACCAAATCTATCTTTAAAAATTATTTATTTGAGCTTAAATGAAAGTCCAATTGTTATTTTTAAAGTAAACTTATTCATTTTGGACTTAATACAATTTTGATAATATTGGTTTTAAGAAATAGATTAACTTAAGAAAGTTGTTTTACAATAATAAAGTTTTCCAACATCAAACTTGTTTTATTTTTCTGTATTAATTCACAAAGTCTTAATATTTAAATTTTATATGGTTGGAAAGTTATTTGAGTTTACTTTCTAATGGATTAAACAAAATCAAAATCCAAATTTTTTAAGAAAAGATTTTGAATTTTTACTAGACACTCTGCAGTTGTCAGAAAAATTGCACATGGTATAACTTTGAAAATTCACTATAATTTGTATAGTGAATTAGGTGATGAACTTTATATGGATAGAAAGCCCTTTAAGTCTAGTTTCTAAATCTTCAAACAGTTTGTGATTTGGATTTGTATAACTCAATATATGAACAAATTAGTGAGTAGAGTGCAAAACAAGAGATAACCACCCAGTCACTGACATGATTGATCTCCTCATGAAGGGATCGATCGGGTCATGATTTTCAAAAAAAAATTGATTCAAAACATGAACCAATCGATCCCCTTTATGGGAGGGGATCAATCGGTTCTGGGTGAAAACACTCCAACGGCTACTTTTTGGTGCTTCTAACGGCTATTTTCTTCTCCCAAACACTTACAACAGCTACCTCTTCAATTTCTCTATAAATTGGGCACTCCAACACACCAAGAAGATTGATGAATCAAGAGAGTAAGAGTCAATAAGCCACATTTTCATTCTCACAAAGAATCAAGAGTTTTTAGAACTTCAAAGTTCATATCTTTGTATTTATTGTATCCAATTTTTATTTGTTGTTCATTCATCATTTTCTTGTACTTAAACTTAGCAAACACTTAGCCTTAGAGAGGTTGTTCTGTTGTTTGCAAAATTACCTTTGATATACAAGGTGGAAAAGAACATGAGGTGAGATTAGGTAAAATACTACAAAGGGTAGAGGTTTCTATCTTAAGCCTTAGAAAGAAAAAGATAGGTTGTATTTTCAATTCAAGAATAGTGGATTGAAGCCTTGGTGTGGACAACCAAGAAGAGAGGACGTAGATGCCTTGTGAAGAAGAACCGAACCTCCATAAATCATTGTGTTTGATTTCTCTATCCCTATCTCCTTACAATTTATTATTGTTTATATTTGATTTTAGATTCATTAATTGTTATTGTTTGCATTATATTTTCATCAAAAGTGCTTATTGTTTTAATTTTCATTCAACTATATTGAAATCATTTGTTTGGAAGAATTTAGAGAAATCCAATTCACCCCCTCTTGGATCACCATCTAACATATAAAGCTAATAATCATTTTACCCTTAGCACAAAGTTTTTAATATTTAGGGCATTTTCTTGGAAATCAATGTTCTCGTGGTCAATTTTATGATTTTAAAGTACAAAAAATCATGAAACATTATAAAATTAAAATTTAAAAATTTTCATGAAAATCCGACATTGAGAAGGTCAAACTACGAAATTACCCCTAAAGATACTTTGATAATTTCACACCTCACAAGGTATTGCTGTGATTTCAAATGCATAAAAAATCATCAAATATTATAAAATCATGATCTGTGAAGTTTCGTGAAAAACCAACTTCGAAAAGGTCAAAGTATGAAATTAACCCTAATGGTATTTGGTAATTTCACACCTCCCAAGATGTGATCTGAGTTTTAAATGCATAAAAAATCATTAAAATATATTCAATTATGATCTAAAAATTTTCACAAAAAATTGATTTCGAAAAAGTCAAATTACAAAAATACTCATAAGGGTATTTTAGTAATTTTACACTTTCCAAAGTGAAATTAAAATTTTTAGTGCTTTAAAAAATTATAAATTTCTATTTTAAACCACATTGACCTCAATTTAGTTTTGAATTTTGAAGATTGACTCGGGTTTTATCCGTTTTCATCATGTTTGACCAATTTTGATCAAGTTTACTAATTTTAACTTTATTTGACCAAGTTTGACCAAATTTAATCAAGTTAACTTTGTGGCATTTTGGTCAAATTGATCTCAATTTTTATTTTAAAAATTCGTCATAATTAAAGAAATGTTAGATTTGAACTGAGTCAAAATTTAAAACGCTTCACAAATAACCGAATTTTTGCTCAAACAAAATTAGGTGTCTACAATCCCCAATCACATAAGCATTTCTCAATTGTTCTACCAATAGCCTCACTTTTATGACTAAAAATGGGACAAAAGTTTAATATCCTTTTGTTAAGTTTCCAATAATTGTTTATAAATTGAACTGTGAGATGCATATAATTGACTTTTACAATGAAGACCATGTGTCAATGGTAAGATAGACTCTTGTAGAAGAAGATTTCAAAAATTACCTTAGGCAAGTTTTTTAATCTAGATAAATTTGAAACAATCCCTAGCAACAATCCATCATAATGGTACACAAAATTTAGGACATGCAATAAACATATAATGCCTAAATCCTTTCGCTTCCACAAATCTAAAAAGTAACTCATCTATTATAATCATTTCAACCACACATTTCCTAATGGCATTTTGATCAAACTTCCAAGTATCTAAAGATCCATCTCTTATCGAGCTAAAAACTAATTTTGTTTAGGAAAGATCACCACTAGCATGAGGAAATTTCATACAAGAACCCACATGATTCTTTAATGCAAATGTTCCCTTTTTTTTTAGGGTGAGAATAAAATTCCCTATCACAATAATTGCATCTAGCTTTAAGATCACCTTTATCATTAGTAAATTTGGTGAAGTAGTCTCATACCTCCAACCATGTGTTTGGTCGTCTCCTTTTCAATTGAATAGTCACAACTTCACTTTTGTTCCATGTGTGTCTACTTTGAATATCCTTTTGTGTAGGATTTCGATCAGTCATTTCATTTGACACCTTTAAGAAAAAAAATTAAAAAGTTAAGCTATATATAAACACAAGGAAATGAATAGCATTTCTAGGACATGTAAGCAAATTTCAAAATAACTTATCAAGAAAAGAAGAAATGAAAATTAACTGCTTGCATCCAACAGTATAATTATGATGAAAAAATGGTATAATTTAAATTCCACAAAAAGACCATAAACAAGGATAAATTAAAAAAAAAATTGTAATTATGTTGATGCATAGGCTGATTCTATAAAAGAGTTCAAATTTAAACTGGCTTCCTATTTAAAAATTAGTCATTCTTACCATTACAAAAAGTTTAATTTCTTTTGCATTAAAAAAAGCCAATGTTGACTTGGAGTCTAGAAGTTTAAAACAGAATTTTGATTCTGTCTCCGAAAATTCTAGCCGAAAATAACCAGAATTTCAAGGCAACATGTAAGCATGTATTTGCCAAAGTTAAACTCAAGATAAAAAATTTCAGACTTTTTAACCATATATTCAAAATCTTTTTCAAAGCTAAACTCAAGATATCAAGGTTCACCACATATTTACATAAACTAAAAAAAATGGTGATTTGTATATACCTTTGATGCTATAGTTCAGCTTGTATTTGTTAGAGTGTATAGGCTATGCGTGTAGGGCAGAGCAAACTTGCTTAATCTGTAGTAGATGCATTAAATTTATTACACATATTGAAACCACCAGAAAGAATGAAATTGAAGAAATTGATGCATTGCTGGTCACATATCATATTACACACAAGATCTGTAAAATTAATTAAAGTTACAAAACAACTAAAATAAATATCAATAGCTCATTCTCAATTAGCCTTTGATTGAAGCCGGGAAGGGCAAAAGGCTAAGAACTTACTGGTGGCAAGGGGGACCGACGATTAGTGGTTGTGACTCTAAGGTGTGAAGACTCAGATCTCAAATCTGTGAAGAATGAGAAGTGAGGCAGTGAAGGTGTCTGGAGACTGGTGTGGTGAGAGGCGGACTGGAGGAGAAGATGGCAGTGGGGCAGTGAGGGAAAATGGGAAATGTCGAGAGTGATAATGGCTTGCGGCTAGAGTTTCTACAAGCAAAAGAAAAACAGTAAAAGGGGTTTGAAATATTATTAATATTTTTATTTTAACTATTTACCTTGATTTCAAATTGGGTTTTTTTATTTATTCGATTTTAAATTCTAAATTCGAAAATCGATCATTAAACCATTGAAACCGAAACAATAATTGAGATATTCATCTAACCCACTTAAATCGACCTAATTTACCTCAAATTTTTTATTTTGATCGATTTTTCGGTTTTAGTAGAATTTTGCTCAGCCCTAGACTAAGGTCTCAAGTCTAAACAACAGTGGCGGCAGCTTTGCTTGGAACGTCCTCCCTCCATCAGACGCCTTATCTAGTGTCACCTAAAGTTCATTTATACACCAATTTCACGTATATATTATAAATAATGAATATTCTAAAGTGTTTTTTTTAATAAAGGATTAATCATCAATTACCCTTAAAGTATAATAAAATGATCAATGTGATATATGAACTTTTAAAATTTTTAATAAGATGTTTAAATTATTAATATATTAATTAATATAATAATTTTTAAAAATTATTAACTTCAAATAATAACACATGCTCATAAATAATTATTTAAATATCATATTAATTAATAAATTTATAATTTAATTATAATATTATAAATTTATAAAATTATGTTATATTAAATATGTCATTATAATTTAAAAATTATTTGTGACATTACTCCTTTTTATAAAAGATAAAGGTTAGAAACCATATAATTTATATAAAGTTTGAATTTCGCATGTTGGAAAGTGAAAATAAGCCTTTAGAATAAAAAGGATTAAGAGCAACAACTGTTCTATCAACTGTTTTGCTTGTTAACTTTCAATTGAAATTTTGAAAAAAAAAAAAAATTGGAAGTCTACTACCCTTCGAATAGCAATGGACTGCCCTAACTTCTTTTTTTCCCTTGGTATATAAAAAACTTTGAGCAATGAATTGCTCTTCTTCGAACGGTAAGACTACCAATTCTGAAAATTCAAAAAATAGTGCGTTGGAAAGTGATAATTCTTTATCTTAGATATATTTTTTAATTTATAATGAAAAAAATTAAAAAAAAATGCAATATCCTGGTCTGAAACAAATAATAAGTATGATCTTTATTAACACAACAACTCAAAAGTTTAGTCTTCGAGTGTTTTCCCAAACAAAGGAATTAAAAATTCTTAATTCCTTGGGAGGGCTACTTTAATTCTTATTTCCTCAAATGGAGCATTTTTTACATGTAAGCATCAAGAAAGCCACCTAAGCACTTTACTTTATCTCTCTTCTTAGATTTCTCCCTCATTCCTTCTCTCCCTCCTGGGTTTAAAAAAAAAAAAAAAAGCACTTCTCTTTCGAATTTGGGATCTTAACAATGGACCACTCTTCCCCATTCTTCTTTTTCCAGTCTTCACTTTTGAGTTTCCCATATTTATTCAACATCCAAAGCTCTCTTTTTTATCCTTTTTCCTATAAAATAATCAACAAATTTGTAATAATATAAACATCCTTCCGTTTCGTACAACCCTTCGCACAGATCCCCAATTCCTTCGGCATGATGAAGTTCTATCCCCAATCTTCTATTAGAACTGAAATAGGATTGTTACAGTTTATTGAATATGGTACTTCTGCAACTACTGTTGAGCTAAAAAATTAGTTCTAAGCAGACATAGCGATTGGTTTTACTTTGAGTATTATTTGGTTTTTGGCTTTTGTTATTTGCTTATTACTTCTACAAGTTCATTATTCTAGCCAGCAATACTGTGTACTCCTCTATTAGCTTCACTACAATTGCCACCAGAATCATCTTTTCCATTTTGCATCAGGCTAAAGCTAAAAACTTGAAAGCTTGGGATCAACAATTTAAAAATCCAAATCAAATAATGTAGTCAAATCACCTAAAAAATATTTATATATATGGTGAAATATTGGTGGATTAAGGAAAGAAGGTGAAGGGAGTGTGATTTGGTAGTGGAGTAACCGGTTGGAGGGATCTCAAAAAATTGGGTCTACATATACAATAAGACTGGTTTTTTTTTTTTTAATTTTTTTACAACGTTTGCCATATAGATAATTAGATAATGATATGGCAGTGACGTAGGATATATACCTTGTTTATGAAAAAATATATTAAAAGTACTCTTAGCTTAGAAGAACGATTTAGATGTGTCTTACAATCGGAAAAAACTCTTTAGTCTTTAGCCTATTAAAATTGTGGGATATTTTAAGTAAAAAGAAATAGCAATAGAATCAGCGGCCACTAATAAGCAGGAAAAGTGAACGTTGCATTGATGGCCGAAAAAAAAGGAACGTTGCATTAATCCTTGGTAAGGTAGGACTTTTTTCTTCTAATGATTTCCTTCCTATATATACCTAGCTTTCTTCTTAACCCTCTTTTTACGTCTAATAATAAATTGTCTAATAATAAATTGTATTGAAGGGTTTGATTTGGAATAGGCTTCTTAATATCAAAACCATGAAGAATAAAACCAACAACATCGTTGGGTCTCTTCCAAAGGAGATGTTGTCAGAGATTCTTATGCATGCGGCCTCCAATTCAGTTAATGATTTCGTCAATGTCAAGCTAAGTTGTAAGGCTTTTCTTGAAGCATCAAACTATGATCATATCTTTGAGAATGTTTCAATGAAGAAACTCAGTTTCGTCCCATGGCGTAAAAGCGAGAAACATTTTTTAAAAAGATGCAAAGATGCCAGGAATGCAGAAGCATTATACAGGAAAGGAATGGTCAATTATTTTAGTCGAAGGAATGCTGAGTCAGGTCTGCGTTACTTGAAGAAAGCAGTCGAAAAAGGTCATGTCGAAGCTATATATACGTATGGTATTATCTTGATATGTTTGGGGGGTGAGCTAAGGAAACAAGGGCTTCAAGCTCTGTCTTCTTCCAATCTCATGACAAGTTGTAGCAAAAGAAGTTTCAAGATTGCTAGCTGCCGTTCAAAAACAAAGAAGTTTCTGAGCAGCATGTGGGTCTATGTATCGCTGGATGAGCCAAAAGAATATTGTGTCAACAATGCAAAAGTAGTGTGCTGCAATTGTGATGATCATGACGTTGCGCCAAGACCAAACTGTTTGAGTTCAGAAGGCCAGTCTTGGGAAGCAAGCAACAACCTAGTTGATAACCTCCCTTGTTGTGACTCTTGCTTTTGGAACCGTGAAGCAGCTTTATTTTGTAGTATTCTTAGGAAATTCCTAGTTAATTAAAGTCGGTAAGTCCTTGTTGGCCCAGTGCATGTAAATATGTACAAAAATTAATATATATAATTGGATTAATTAGAAGTTGTGCTTAAGTATAGCTGCTTTCAATAATTAAAGATGATTGAAATCTTGTCAATTTAGATCTACTTGGATGGACAATAAGATTGGTTCATGTGAAAATTGAAAAAAAAAAAAATTTTGGCTCCAATTAGTAAATACCCAAAATACTGCCACCATGCTACACCTCTAGGAACCAAATGGGTGGTGTCGCAGTTGAGATAAGAAAAAAAAATGACCCCACCCATGCTGCACCGAAACTCCGTTTGAATCCAAAAGGGTCTTAACAAAGCAAAGTAATTAAACAGAACGATACACTAAACACAACATTAAATATTTACGAGAAAGCATATACAGCGAGCAGTTTCTAATACATATGATGTCAGGTCGGTAGGGTAGTATATGCGAGACTTGCAAGATGAAACTGAAGCAATTGTTCAATTCTGCTACCTTGACCTTTCACCCAAGAATGCATTATTTTCCTCTCTCAGGCTGTTGTATTTCTTGCCCAGGTTATTGAAAGCTCGATTCTTCTTCTTCTTCTTCTCCAGGCGAAGCTTCAGTTTCGATTTGTCTCTTGATCTCTTGGATCTAAAATCCTTTCTTTTCATGCTGTTTCTGTAGTGTTTCCAACTCTGACGGTGGTTTTGCTAAAGCTTTTGAGAGTTTGGTGTTCAGATAACCGAAAACCAAATAACAACAGCTTTAATATAAGCTATTCGTATTTCTTATCATGCTAATCTCTCAATTTATTTTCAAGAGCTTCTGAAGTCCGATAATGTTATTAATAATTCAAGTTGATATATAATGTTACTAAATCCAACTCTAGACTGGCAATCAAATGTTACTATGATTTCAGAAAACTAATATGCATGATATTGCCTTATCGGGGAAAGACAATGGAGGGGAAGTGTTTCAATATAGCAGGAAAGCTTCCATACTTTTATAAACATCTCTGACCCCAACTTGGTGTGTCTGGATTAAATAATAATTTTTAAAAGGAAGTGTTTCAATATAGCAGGAAAGCTTCCATGCTTTTATAAACATCTCTAACCCCAACTTGGTGTGTCTGGATTAAATAATAATTTTTAAAAGTATCATTAACCTTTGTTTGTTATAAGTTAGAGCGTTAAATTTTTAATTTTAGTGATCTAAGTTTGTATCTTAGTAGCCTTAAGTGTAAACAAGGTTGGATTTACCATGATTTTATATGTTTAAGAGTAATTCAAGGGCAAGACTATTTTTAAAAAGATTCTTAGGCTTTATTTGTTTTGCAAAAAATAATTTTTGAAAAATGAAAGTGTGTACATTTTTTTAATTGAATGAGATTTTTATTATTTAAATAAGTTAATGAAAAATATTTTACGTTATTTGATTGTTTTTTGAAAGTTTTGTTTTTTTTCAAATAATATTAATATAATTATTAAAATATTAAATAATAATTTATTAGTAAAGTATATTGAAATTATTTATTATTAAAATTATTAACATTAAAAAATAATTATATTTTAATAATAATATTTAATACTAAAATATTATGTTAATATAAAAATACTTAAAAATAAAATTATTTGTTATTCTTTATATTATTTATTAATATATTATTATGAATAATATATTATTATAATATTAATTAATTAGTATACTAATATTTATTAATATATTAATATATTATTATTTATTAAATTATTATATTAATATTATATTATTTATTAATATATTAATATAATATTATTTATAAGTAAAATTATATTAAAAAACATTGATAAGCAATTATTATCATAAACATTTTTTTTGAAAAATATCTTTTTTTTTAATCTGTAAGAAAATTTTAAAAAAATGTTCCTAGGCCAATTTTTTTCAAAATAAATATCTGAAAATATTAAAACTATTTTTTAAAAGTTTCGAAAATCATTATACTCGAAGCAGAACCGTATGTTCTACTACCGTATGGCCTTATGGGAGGTGATGATGATACATATATAAAAGTGACAATGCAGAGTGGAGTGGACAGCATTAGGGAATAAAGTCAACAATAGTAATAAATTAAGGTAGTTCAGAATATGTGGTGTCATATCCATCTGCAAAGGGAAAATTAAAACTAATGAAAAGTAGCAAGAATTTGGTACCTGGAGGATAGCGGGAGCTGTCACTGCTGTCTTCCATGATGTTTACAGATTCCTCAAGAAAAAATTAATATTGTCAGGGTCTTTTCTATATAACCTCTCATGTCCCCTTCATATGTAAATGCTTTCTAATCCATAGGGTAATATCTTTTTCTCAAGGACTCATTCATCTAATTCAACTCCTCCAAAGAAAAGAAGGGTGAGGATGATAGATGAAAACTCATGGAAGGAAAGAGAACCCAACGATTCAAATTCCTAGAATTTCCTACTGCAGTTTGTTCTGATCTTTTTTAGGTGAAGTTCTCTGTCTTTTTCCATCACATGTGAGAATTGCACGACTCCCTTCCCTTTATAGAATATTCAACTTTTTTTTTTTTCAGATTTTCTATCTACTTTGAATCTGTTATCATTCTTTCTAGAATTTTTTTTTGAACAATTTGTTTGTTCATCATTACTGTTATGAAAAATCTGCAAAATATGGATGTCTTCTGAGGCAATTTACTCCGTCAAAGAATCAAAGCTCCATTTTGAATATAGCAATGTGGGTACTGAGAACTACGAGGAATTAACTCTTACAGTTAAAGTTTTACTACTTGTTAAGGAAAATTATGTGGTGGTGCAAATCAAACCTGTTAAAAGAAATCTATTTATGTACATAAAGCAGCTTTGAATAACCAGAAAGACCAAGTAGATCATAAATTAATGGAGTACTCAAGCTATTTTTTATCCTGCAAGAAGATATATCTGCTTGCAGGATAAAAAATAGTTTTACCAAGTTTTGTTAAATTAATACCAGCATAAAAAAATTACAGTTTCTCCTCATTCAATTCATGATTTTGAGAAAATTTGTGTTTCTAGAAACGTAGTCTACGACAGTAATTTCTCATTATTCTGGTTAGATATTGAATCTACTATTAGCAAAAATGATATTTATCTATTTATCTATTATCTATCTATTTGTACGATAAATTTTACTCATTTTTTCACCGTCACATCCCATAAGCCTTTTTTTTTTTCTTCTTTTACCTTTTTTATTTTTCTTTAATTTTCTTTTTCACATCTATTTATCTATCTATACAATAAATTTTACTCTTTTTTACCACGTGGCACATCCCAATGAGTTGTTTTTCTTTATTTGCTTTTTTTTCCTTTTTCTTTTTCTTCTTCTTCTTTTTCTGTTTTTTTTTTTTTTTTTACTTTTTCTATTTTTTTATTCTTTCATATTTAATAAATAATTTTATTCTCATTTTTTTAAAGAAACTTTGTGGGGGTCTATTCGAATTTTTTATTAAATTTTTAAAATTTTTCTATCTTTTTTTATTAGATAATTTTGTAAAAAATATACTAAAAGAAAGTGTCAATGTGATATCCAAATTTGTTTTTTTCTTTATTCTCAACATTTTCTTTTTTTAGTTTTGTTTTTTTTTTTTGTTTGTTTTTTTTGCTTTTTAAGTTTTTTTTACAAGTTTATTTTTTTACAATAAAAAAAGAGGCGAATGGATGTGTCCAAATGGCACTTTCATATGATTTTTTTTTGCTATTTCCTTTTTTAGTTTTTAATTTTTTTAATTAGATAAATTTTATTTAAAAAAATTAGGTTAATGTAGGTAAGGATGAGAAAATAATTTATTTTTGATCAGTTTTGACCTGTTCTAATCCAATATGAGTGGTTTTTTAAAATCGAAATTGGATCGAGGCAAGTGGTTCTTTTTTTCAAAATCATGATAGGGTAGAAGATAGGTTTAGATTGCTCTACTCCTTTGGTTTTTTTTTATTTTTTTAATTTTTTTAAATTAGATAAATTTTGTGAAAAAAGAAACCAACGAAAGTGTACACATGACATTCCATTTCTTTTTTTCTTTTTACCTTTCTTATTTTTTATGTTTTATAATCAAATAAATTTTGCTATAAAAAAAGTTGGTAAATAGAAACAGCTAAACAATCTGTAATCAAAGGCTTTTGATTAGCCCAAATTTGATAAGGAGTGATTTTTAAAAAAAAAATAGAGATTGGGTTGGAGTAGGTTGGGTTCTTTAAAAAAGAAATAGCCAAATTGAAAACAGGTGTAAACACCCTAATATGTTTGGGTTTTAATTGTTTAATTTGTTAAAAAAATAAGAAAATAAAAAAAAATCAAGTGTTTGAGTTTGTATGAAATTATTTGTTTGGATTGTAAAGATTGAGTTGGACTTAAAGTTTGAAGTTAGAATTGAAGAGTAATTGAAACTCTTTATAATCAGATCTCTATAAATACAAACCCAAATCAAATAATAGAACATAGAGGGAGATAGCAAATAAAAATAAATATACGCAGAAATCAGAGGCAAAAAAAAGAAGAAAGCAATCAAACTCAATTTTTTTAGAAAAGTTTTTGTTAAGGGTTTTATTTTAGATTTGGTTTTTCTAAGGATTTTGGGGCTTGGGAATCAAATTGGTGAGATTTAAAGAGTTTGATTGATGTTTATTGAAATTTTTTTTATTTCGAAGATTTTTTAGAAATTTTTAGAATTTTGAATTTTTTGAAAAATTCCAAATTTCAGCTAGTTTCCGACAGAAACCCAGGCTTCCAATGTGAAAATTTCAAAACCAGATGATAAAATCCAGGTTTCGACAAGACTTTCGATGAAATTTTTCATATTTCGGCATTGTTTTCCAAAATCCAACAAAGCTTCATTCGGAGTTTATCTTTGTTTTAGAGAGAGAACAGATAAAAAAAAGAGGAGAAAAAGGGAAAAAAAGTTTGAGAAAAAAAAATAATTTTTTCCCTCTTTTACGTCTACCAAACGATGTCGTTTTTGGCATTTTAGTATGACAAGATCCACG